ATCTATCTATCTATCTATCTATCTATCTATCTATCTATCTATCTATCTATCTATCTATCTATCTATCTATCTATCTATCTATCTATCTATGTCTGTCTGTCTGTCCACAAAGACAGGAAACAGAAATATTTCTAGACAATGGTTCATATACTAGCTAGAATATTATCATAAGCTGCAAGTTTGTTACACCATTTAAACCGAGATAAGGTTTGAAACTACTCTTTAAAGGCTCCCAGCACTTAAACACAGTGATGGAGGGACAGACCGTGTCATCTGATGAAATCAGTGATGACACAAGTCTGAACTCGCCATGTTTAAGCTGGGGGAGTTCCAGCTTGTATTTAGTTTCTTCCAGTGACTAATTTTTTTTTAAATCTGACGCTCCTTCCTGTCCATAAACACCCCATGTTGTTTATGACAGCAGACTGTGACGCCTCAGGATATCTGCAAAAAATGATTTGAATACTTTGCTCTTTCATTAGTAAAAGGGTTACATAAACATATCAAAACAAACTTAAGGGCTTTTCCCACACCAGATAAACATAGCAGCGCCATTAGATTAAGGAATTAAGAATAAGGGGTTCTGGTTTTCCTGTCTCTTTTTAGTTGATATCCTGAGGACTCTAAGTGGGAAAAATAATTGCATTAAAACAGACTTATAGTTCAGTTTACAAACTTAGCAACCTTTTTGTCAAATTCAAACCATTATTGAAAATATTTTCTAAATATAACAATGAAATCCATCAGCTGTGTATTTTATTAAGCACTGGCCGGTTTGTATTAATCCAATTCAATTTAGGTTATTTATATAGCAGGAATTTAAAACACTTGTCATCTCAAGGCACTTTACGGAGAAAGTCCTGTCAGATCATCCAGACCGATTGGTTTAAAGTTTGCTGTACAAGGAAATCTGGTGATTGCATTTCATTTCCAAGGACAGTAATGCCTATAAAACATGTTTTTATTTTAAGAAAGCTAATACATCAAAAGGAAGACACAAAAAGTACAGCAGATCCCTTGATAGAGACAGCTATGCATCAAAACTTCCAACCACAGAAACAGTTGTTTCAAGGTCAAAGTCTCAAACTGACACCTTTTCATTGGAAAAAAAATACATCTCAGTACATGTTAATTCAATCTTATTTCATACTGTTATTTATTTTAATATCTGCCATGGTGCTACTCCTCTACAAACGTTGCACTAATCATCTCTGCTCTCATAATGTTTCAAAACCACTTGCTTGTTTTTATTTGAAATTATTCCTGAATGTTTTTATGTCCACTGTACTTTTGCTTGTCTGTGTGTAGCACCTTAGCAACAAGACATATTACACATACTTTTAAAGTCCTAAGGACGCGGCTGTTCCAACGGTTGCAGTTCTGAATTCTCCCGATTGGTGCACGACTTTACACGAATAAATAAAGTGAATGTTATTAGTCGTTTATCAAGGGGGAGGGATTTTTTTAGCGGATGGTTCGCAAGCATGTTTGGTTGTGGACGTTTCGCTTCCCATCAAGGCAGCTTTTTCAAATCTAAATTTTCAACATTTTGAATTGATAAAGCTTCCTAGATGGGAAACGAAACATCATCAAACTTGGAAACAAAGTCCAGTGGATTGTTGTTTTTTTTACTTTTTTTGGACAGACTATGACCTAATTGACTGTGAATCTTCACCAGCAGTTTATCTTCATGTCTAAGAAAACCTAGACCAAAAACCAGTGCACTTGACTACACTTTAATTGATTAATTACACAAAATGGGCAGACAATCTAAGAAGCCTTTAAGTTCAACCAATGTAAAGAGTTATTTTTGAATAAATAAGAAAGTATAGAACCACCTCATGACAAAAGATGCCTTTAAGAAAGGATTTATGACTAAACACAGATTAAGCTGTTTAGAAACAATGAGGAGTGTGAACTTTTAAGCATGGTGGTGGCAGCATGATGATGAGAGGAGGTTTTTTTTTCCACTAGAAGCATTAATGCATAGAGAGGTTTTAAATCTGATTGAAACTTGACCAAATATCAACAGAGGTTTGACAGTTTTTTCAAACACGCCTGGGTGCAGATAACTATTTTAAACTGTCTTTCCCTGACTCAGATCAAAAACTCTAAATTAGTTTTATCCCCATCTCCCTTCCCCTTCCTCCTCCCTGCTCCTACAATAACTGCTGCCATCAATCTGCAGGATTTTAACTGTCGAGGCTCAAAGTGGAAAGATCACAGGCTTAACTATATAATGAAAGAAGAGAAAAGTGGATCCCTGCCATAAAAATCCCACCGTACTTTTACTCTTTAGTCCAACTAGCAGCAATTACAGCAGATTCATGTCTTAACAACACAGAAACACCTGAAGGAAACAGTGGAATCTGATCTGAAGCATTAGAAACTAAAAAATAACCCTGTAGGCTTGCAGGGCCATGTTTTAATCTGTAAACACAAATCATACCTTAACAGCCTGATATCACTGGAGCACAAGCAAATCTGAAGTAAAATCCTTAGAATAAGAAAAGCACTTAAAGCCTAAAGTGATGCTGACGCCATAAATACTGACAATAAAGGCGTGTTTATTGCTTTAATCAAATCAGCATCATCTCCTCCTGGAGCATCTTCTCCAGTCAAACCAGCAGCTTTGTAGAGAACAGCTCCTCTCTGATGAGGCTGATGTTCCTGCCTCCATAAATCAGGATCTATCTGGCCTTAGAGGGAGCCACCAGCTGCTGAAGCAGCAGCAGCATCCACGCGGACACGTCTCCGCTCCAGACACGCGTGGAAAGATCATATCAGCGGCTCTCATCACTCAAACCCACCGCCTGCAGCAGCTTGTGCCGGACAGCCGCCTTCCCATGCAGCAGCTGCGGCTCGTCTTTCCTCTGCAGCCCCCTCCGGATGCGCTCCTTCTCGGCTTTGTTGAACCCCCCGGTCCGGTCGTCCCTCTTCTCCCGGCTCCTGCCGCCTGTATCCCCGCCGCTGGAGTCCAGGCTGCTGAAGTTCCACACGATGAGGGTCTGGATCAGCAGGACGGACACGGCGGCGAGCAGCAAGGCGGAGCGGGAGCGGCGGGCCAGCCTGCGGGCGCACGGGTTACCGTTCATCTCCCTCCGCTTCACTGAGAGACTGGGGGCCCCGTCTGCTAAACGCAGACAGCGGGGTGTGAATGCTCCCCTCCACGGCCTGAGGGGGGCTGCAGGAGGGCAGACAGGAGGGAGGAGGAGAAATGGGAGGGGGAGTTTGGCACCAGATCGGAATGAGGAGAGAGGATTGGAGGCGGCGAGGAGGACGCAGAGAGGAGGCCCCCATGTGGTCATTCAGGGGTCCACAGCCGGAGGAAACGTTTACTTCTTGTCTAAATGACGTCCTGGATGAACAATTTTCAACCTTTTGGGGGCCAAAAAGGTTCCCATGAACCCATTCCAATATATGGTTATTAAACAAGGTCAAGTTTAGTTTATCTTTATTCCAAAAAAAGTAAAAAAAAATAAAATAAAAAACAATCCACTGGACTTTGTTTACAAGTCTGAAGACATTTCGCTTTTTTAAATCTTACTTTTCAACATTTTGAATTGATAAAGCTTCCTAAATGGGAAGCAAAACGTCTTCAAACATAGAAACAAAGTCCAGTGGTTGTTTTTTACTTTCTTTGCAATGACTATGACCTGGTTGACTTATAATCTTTACCAGCACTTTATCTTCATGTCTAAGAAAACCTAGACCAAAAACTGTTCCACTTGACTAGACTTGAAATACTTATTACACCAAATGGGCAGACAATCTAAGTAGCCTTTAAGTTCAACCAATGTAAAAAGTTATTTTTGAATAAATAAGAAAGTTCAGAACCACTTCATGACAAAAGATGCCTTTAAGAAAGGATTTATGACTAAACACAGATTAAGCTGTTTAGAAACAATGAGGAGTGTGAACTTTAAAGCATGGTGGTGGCAGCATGATGATTAGAGGATGTTTTTTTTCCACTAGAAGCATTAATGCATAGAGAGGATGGACATCTGATTGAAACTTGACCAAATATCAACAGAGGTTTGACAGTTTTTTTAAACACACCTGGGTCCAGATAACTATTTTAAACTGTCTTTCCCTGACTCAGATCAAAAACTCTATTTTGCTGCTAATTAGTTTTATCCCCATCTCCCTTCCCCTTCCTCCTCCCTGCTCCTACAATAACTGCTGCCATCAATCTGCAGGATTTTAACTGTCGAGGCTCAAAGTGGAAAGATCACAGGCTTAACTATATAATGAAAGAAGAGAAAAGTGGATCCCTGCCATAAAAATCCCACCTTACTTTTACTCTTTAGTCCAACTAGCAAACTGAGCTTCCATCTAAAATCAAGGCAGCTGAAACAGTGGCAGCTCCGGGCCAATTTTACAGGGGTCAAGTTTAGGATGGTGTTTCTTTTCACAAACACACAGAAGCTTTTCTCACGACCTTTTCCATTGACTTCCCTTCATTTCTACAGCCCAACTGAGACCCCTACCTTAAACCTCACCATTAGGGGTTAATACCTAACCCCAACCTAAGCTCAGCTCACACCTCGGTCCTAAACGTGACCCCTGACCCTAAAACAGCAACTCAAGGGGAGTTGGCATATGCCCCTCAAGGAACATTTGGTCCCCACACTCTGTTATTTTTCCAGAGAGTGTGAAGAACAAACACACTTATAAAACAGAGTAGGAGTGCATAATTTAGTAATTATTATGCCTATATTTTATATTTAGTATATTAATTGAGTCAGAAAACCAAGGTTGCATACTAACATAAAAAATGTGATCCTATACGGATACTACTGAAGCTTAAAGCTAACTGACACTTCTATATAATTGTTGAATTAAAGGTATAAAGGACGATCGTTTATTTCCGGGTGGATCATCTAAATAATAGGCCCTCCTAATTGTCAATTATTCTGGTGATATGTTTACATAATGCTATCCTACGTCCCGTTAGCTATCTTTTTCTGCTCATGCACACTTTCCGGCGTACATCTGTGGTGAGATGCGGTTTTAGCCAGTCATTGAAGCTCACCTTTCTCACAGTGGCAGGCCCGGAGCTAGATGGGGGCCAGGGGTGGCCATGGCCACCCTTAGCCAATCATTGGCCACCCCTGTGGCCAACCTACCATTTAATTGGTAACAGTTATCCTCTCAAGTGGAATATTCAAAACATTTTAATTTTTCATATATTAACAATTACTTGACAACAAAAACACTGTGGTTAATTATGCACATCAATATACTAATATTAAAGATGATAAATACAGAATTCAAGCAGAAAAAGATTTTGTTTAATGGGATAAAGAGAAAATTTACTTTGGAGTCTTCAGTGAAATCATAGATAAATAACTATTAAAAAAATTATTAAATAATCAATTTATGTAGATATTTGTACTTGTAAATATCAATTTAATGCAGAATGATGGCAATGGAAAAGATGTTTGCCCAACACTCAAACCTGAAACAATTTTATCCACTACACCTTTTATCTAGAAAGCACAGATGTTTGAATATATTTGTCTATTTGTTAGCAAAGGCTGTGGAAAATTATAGTTTGTCTTTATTTAGAAAATATGGATGTTTTGCTCATTAATTTTCCTGTTGGAACATTGTAGATGTACTGACAGGTTTTGGTGCCTATCTACTTTCAGCCACCCCTCAGCGTACATTGGTAATTGCCTGGCCACCCTTATAAAAATTTTCTGGCTACGCCTCTGCAAAGCGGGTCCCTGAAAATGCTTGCGCACAAGAGAAAAAGTGTCTATGAAGTGTATGCGAAGAAAAAGGCCCCCGAAGAGGGAGATGTATGTCAAGTCCAGTCAAGTCAGCTTTTATTGTCATTTTCTTAAAGGAATAGTACACCCAAAACATGATTAGCCTTCATTTTCTACTCACCCTCATCCTGAACAACACTCTGGAGTACTTTTTTGATATCTCAAATGCATCTGGAGATCTGGGAGGCTTCTTGCTGTCTGCTGACATTTAAATAATGGAGGTCTATGGCGCCCGAGGCAGAAAAGTCCATAAAAGTCCACAAAAAACGTGTCAATATTCCTCCATACTGCTCTTCCAATGTATTCCAAGTGTCCTGAGTGGGTAGCATCCATCCGCCTGCGGGCTCACGACACTACGTAAGCCAGCAGACCAAACCAGATGAAAGTGCGCATTCAGCGTCTGCTCTGCCGATAATGCAAGCATAGAAGAAGAAATGTGCTGTTTACCTGTGCAAAGAAAGAAACAACGAAAGAAAAATGTCTGAGGACTTCAGTGTTGAGGAAGAGCATCAGTTCTTTGCCGAGCTGAATGCGCACTTTCATCTGGTTTGGTCTGCCGCGGTTTCCGTAGCGTCGTGAACGCGCTTTCAGGAAATCCTATACACTACTGTTTATGCTCTAAAAACATTCTAAATGACTTCGTTTCGAGTAAATTCTGGATGCTACCCACTCAGGACACTTGGAATACATTGGACGAGCAGTATGGAGGAATATTGACACGTTTTTTGTGGACTTTTATGGACCTTTCTGCCTCGGGCGCCATAGACCTCCATTATTTGAATGTCAGCAGACAGCAAGAAGCCTCCCAGATCTCCAGATGCAGTTGAGATATCAAAAAAGTACTCCAGAGTGTTGTTCAGCATGGGGGTGAGTAGAAAATGAAGGCTAATCATGTTTTGGGTGTACTTTTCCTTTAATATGTACAAGACATACAAGGGAAATGAAATTACGTTTTCTCTCTAGAAATATACAAGAAATATACAAGACTGACATTTACATACTGACATAAACAGTGATAGACTGGTAAAATATGCTGGAATGCTTTGCGCAGAGAGCTCTGCTCACAAAGCATTATGGGACAAATCAGTTACAGTCTCTTCTGTCAGCGCATGTCTTCATAAAAAATTAGTTTAATATAACACTACAAAAAGTGAGAAGGAGAAATCAGTGTATTTGCACTTGATTTCATATGGTAATTATGCTTGACTTCAATTTAACTTGCCTGCCTAAACTAAAGGAAAAAAATACATATATTTCAAGAAAAAATGTCCTACGTTACATTTTTGCAGCTTTCAGTACAAGGGGCATAACAGGGGCCAGGACCAGTTCTAAAGGGGCACAGGCCCTCGTTGGCCCTTGTCTAGAACCGGCCATGTTTAGTGCAGGTTGGGGGTGTTCTGGTCTTCTAGCAAAATAACCTCACTGTTGAAAGAAGGGAGCGAGGGGTCTCAGCGGTGCTGATAAATCAGGAATTTAAGTGGAAAACTGACCAGATGGCATAGTGCAAGTTGATCCAGCGAGGGAGAAGGAGGAGAGGAGCTGCCAGCCGGTCTTGATACCAGAGTTTCTATGGGGGATCTGCAGAGGATTTCTTGGAGTCCAAGAGTTGTGTGCTGGAGTGGAATCCGAGAATTCATCAGAGAATCCTTGGGAGCAAAAACACAGAAGTGAGTTTCTTAATAAAAAAACAAGAAGCTAATCAAAGCTCAGAAGGCTTGACCTCACCATGGGAGTTAGCACTCATCAGAGCTCTTAGTTTTTTTTTTTTAGATTTTATTTGGCAAAAAAAATGTAAGAGCGTATTATCACCACTAAATGATTTGCATTGTGGACTAGAAGGACTAAAAAAAAATAATTTGAAATAAATGAGTGATTTAAAGAAAATCTATCACATTTTGAGATCTATTGGGTGATTAATTTCTCTTTAATAATTCAAATGAATTTAATCTTATTTTCAATTTGGAGAGATTCCTAAGCCAGAAAATAGTTTCTTATCCTCCACAATAATTATATTTCCCGTTTATTATATTTTCCTATTATTAATTAAGTCAAATCTAAGACATTAAAACTACTTAATCTTTTTCTTTCCTTTCAGCAGTCCTCATTTCTCCAACTCTTTAAAACCACCCGCCTTTTTTTCTTCTTCTCATTTATATTCCATAACCTTTGAGCATTGTGAATATTTATTAAATGTTTAATTGCTTTAGTTCAAGATTTTATTTATTTTCACACTACTTTGTGCATCATTGTACTATTTCCTTCTTTTTCCCTCTCCTTTTTTTTTTTTAGAAGTTTGTTTGCTGAATCAATACCCATAATGGGATTCATCCCCCCCTCCAAGGCAAAAGAGTGGTAACTATGAAGTGGCTTAGGATCAGTCAATCAGACTAAT